TTTAGGATACGAAATTATGTTTTGTTATTCACCTCGACAATCATAACGATTGTTCTCTTGGGAAAACGATGTGTCTCCTTTGGATGGATTCCATCTCTGGTAATCCGATACTAACCAAATTCGGGAATTTTTCCATCCAGATTCGGGTAACGCGCATTTTCCAACCAGATTCGGGTAAAATTCCAACCAGATTCGGAAACTTTTTATTTTTCGACCAGATCCGACAAAGCTAATTTTCCTTTATTATTCCTGGTTACCCATTCAGGTGCTTCCAGTCACTGCTCTTTTCAACCATATTCGGATTTCTTGCGCTTTCAACAGACGAGAATCAAGTGCTTGATTTTTTTAGGTTGTTTTGCCCATAGTTGTTCAAAATAGAATAATTTTGAAGGTTTCAGATAATTATGAAGCGAAACAGGTGCTCATTGAAAGAAATTATGCGAGACGCTGAAGAAAAGTGTATAAATGGCGAAAGGATCAGTATAATCTCAAAGTTGACGGGAAAACAGAATCGAGAAATTATGAAATTTTCGGAATTGATTCAATTGTTGCCTCGGGTAATGAAGAAGATGTAGGAGAGAGGAACAGTGACGATGGAACTTTTTTGACTGACAGAAGTGAATTGAATGAGATTGAAGAAGCAGAGACACGAAACGCCTGGAGGTGTCTAAGTAATCAAGATTTGCAGAGAATCTACTTTCTCGTTACCACTACACCCTCAGCTGTGGTCTTCACTCACGATATCTGATAAACCCCAGACACCAAATGTCTCTCTTCCATCACGCTTATCAAGAATCCCAATCAGTGAGTTAACAGAAAACCATCACAACAATAAACTATTATTTCATCTTTACAGAATTACTATCACAATGCATCACAGTTGGTGGAATAGCGCCCAGCGACCTGTCGGATCTCGTTGACGTTTTGTTCAAAAGACACGCTACATATATGTTGTGAGTTTTTGGGTGAACACTAATTTAAGCCTGAGCATAAGCCTAATTCCCTTTTTTTAATGCACATTTTCAGCGAGAACGCACGAAAAGCCAATAAAAAATCGAAGAACAAAATCATGGATGAACCCGGAACGCCAAAGGTCTACGAACAAAACTCGCCTACACCCTCTCCAAACTCGCCTCTCAACACTGACAGAGGGTAGGCAATGTGAAATCCGACAATTATAAACATTTTTTTGGCTCCTAAATTTTTGACCAAATTCGCCATCTTTCTAGTTATTCATGTTTTTTGGGTGCCTCAAATTTTTCCCGGTTTTCTCGTGTCATTTCCTTGTTATTTTTTACTGATTTCTTAATAAAGTTATTTTTTAATGCTTTTTACGGTACGGGAAATTTCAAAATACGGGTTCACTAAACAACGCGCACTACGACGCTCCGCTCGTATTTTCCGGCCAAATCTGGTGAAAGTCCAACCAGATTCGGCTAATTTTCCAACCAGATCTAGCCATTTCTGCTCCGGAATTTTCCCGAATCTGGTTGGAAAATTACTCGAATCTGTTTAGAAACCGATTACCAGAGATTTTGATTTTGTCTTCACCTGGTCTCCACCTAATGCTTGTCGGTAATCTTTTATGACACCTGCGGCGGTTCACAATCTGAGGTGTGAATTCATTTAACACCTGTTTTATTGTCTGTTACGTCTTCACATATCAATTTATGACGTGATATTGCCCGTTGAAGTGTGAGAAAAGGGGCGGAGTTTCCCAAGGGACGGGATTAGCGCAGGTGTGCTAAGCCCCGCCCCTTAGGTGAAGATGCAAGGGTTCTAAAAATCGGATTCCTCATTTTTCATTTCTCCCCCTCGTTTCCAGGGTGTCGCAAGACGCCCTGATGCCAGTGATATACTCCTTTATATCCTGATGTCAGTGGTTTCGCAAGATTCCCTGATGCCAGTGATATGGTACCCCCATGTCATGATGCCAGTGGTTTTTTTCAGGTTTTTTTCCCGGTAAAAACCAGATTCTATTTCACGTACTGAGCCTCTACGCGGCGAAAGGGATCAACAGACTCAAAGTCTGGCTAATCAGTACATTTTTAAAGTTTCTCGTTTCACATAATTTTTCACATATTTCCTGACTCACATTTCGTTTAATTACCCTGACTCACATTTCGTTTAATTTTACATTTTTCTGTAATTTATGGCGTTTAGCTCTTGTGACGTAAATCTCACAGTATCAGGGCCTGGTTGTTTTTTTCGATTTTTCCGGTTTTTTGTCTGAAATCTGATGGACCGGTGTTTGAATACTGTAGATTACTGTAGATTACCATGGGCAACTAATCTTTTTTAGTTTGTTTTTTGCACATACAATCACGTCAAACTACAAACTACAAGGCTTTTCAGTAATCTACAGTAATCAAACACCGAATTTCAGACAAAAAATTCAGGAAAATCGAAAAAGTCTTCAAAAATAGCTAAATTGAAGAAAAAATCAATTTTTTTTCTGGATATATTTTCTCGATTTTCGTGCAGTGTCCCTCAATTTCATCACTGTCAAAAACATAAAGTTTCAGCCTTTTTGTGGGGTAAAAATACCAAAAATATACATATTTTTAGGACTACGGTAGTTGTCGCTGTGGGACCATTTACCGGAGCAAATTTCACATAGAAAACTCACAAATTCTGAATCTCCTTTCCATTTCAAATTGAACGCTTTATTCTCATAAGAAACTGCCGTATAGTTAATTTCGAAACTTGTCTCATAGTCATGTGGCCGGAAACCCGATTTCAATATCTGAAATTACAAAAAAACCGTGTTTTAATCCCAAAAAATTCGAATAAATTCTCACTTGAATATCTTTGAAAAAGTGGTGAAGAAGGCGAATGTAAATTCGAAAACCGGCTGAAAACAGCGAACTTAAATAGTACCAAAACAAAAAAAATACCAAAATTCACAGATTTTTGCTCTTCGCAAAGCAAAATCTTTGTGGAATCCGATGAATATGTACCCAGATTGTCGATGTCTTCTGCGGAGTTTTTTGAAATCAATTTGGTGATGCTGAACGCTTGTTATTATTCTAGTACAAAAAATTGGGGTTGTGGAAGAGAAGGTCTCATAACAACATCTACAGTAATCTAAAAATATTTTTATTGATTTTCGTCGATTTTTTCTTCAAAAAATTTGAAAAATTACAGTTTTTGATAGTGATAAAGTCGAGGGAAACTGCAGAATTTTTAGACCTTTTTAGGTTTTTCAGCTATTTTTGGAGATTTTTTTTTTTCGGTTTTTCCAATTTTTTTTTGTTTGAAATTCGACGGGATGGTTTTTAATTACTGTAGATTACCGTAGAAACCCTTGTATTCTGTAGTTTTTTCCAACCAAAAAAATCTACGTCAAAATGCTTTCACAAAAACGACTAAAAAAGGAAATCTACAGTAATCTACAGTAATCAAACATCGTTCCATCGAATTTCCGACAAAAAGCCGGAAAATAAGAAAAGAGTCTTCCAAAATAGCTGAAAACACTAAAAAGGTATAAAAAATTTGCAAAAAATCGAAGAAAAAAGCAACTTTTTTTCTCGATTTTTTTCTTCAATTTTCGTACGTTTTCAGTCATTTTTTCACTAACTTTTTTGTCGAAAATCGAGAAAATAAATCCGGAAATTTGAAATATTTTCTGGTTTCTGTAGTCGTTTCTCTCCGACAGCTACAATTTTTGTGCACTAGAACAACACCTAGCAAAGAAAAGATTCGCGGATTTATCAGAAGTATTCGGGGGAATCGTGTCTTCTGCGTCCGGTCCCAAACGACGATGTTGGATTTCTGAATCCTTATCCAATTCATCGAAATAGTCCTCCACCCAATCATAAATATCAACTTCATCTGGAACGTCGACGACTTCAGAAGACATAACGATGACGTGGAATAGGAGAAGAAGGAATTGAAGCTTCATGATGGTTGGCTCGTCTGGGCTCTGTTTGCCCTTTTATATGATGGCGGTTAATCGAATTATAGCACAAAAATGTCAGGGAATCTGAAAATTTGCTTTTGCAGAGGTTTTTCAATTGATCCTATATTTTTTCTGATGCTCACAATTGAGAATTAAAAAAAAGAAGAAAAAATTGAAAAATTATATCGCTTTTATATAAAACAAGCGGGGACATTCCATTCTCGCAGTGAGAAATGGTTTGAAAAAAAAGAGGGGGACCAGTTACATTTGCTACCTGTGAAGAAGTCAGGGGAGTGGTATCCTATGAAAGTTGGGGGTAATTCAATCTGTTCAGTATGTTACAATAAAAATTCTAGAAGAAGGAGGGTAATAAGAGTAAAAGTGAGTAAAACACAAAACGATTAATTACGGTTAGGCTTTCCATGACGGGCGGGTAGCGAACGGGTAGCTGCTACCTGCCTGTACCCGTACCCGCCCGCTTGCTACCCGGAACTTTTTGTGTTTGCAGACAATGCGCGCAACTTGCCGACACTTCGATTGAAATATTTTTTAAATGATTTGCTGACAATTTTTTGTCGCTTATTGATGTCGAAAAAAGTTTTAAAGTGAAAATAAAAAATAATTCAGGTATAAAAATTCATCAGCCAGTAAAAATGGACGAATTTGTTTCGGAAAGAAACCGAAAATGCGCGCGAATTGTCGGCAAGTTGCGCGCATCGTCTGCAAACACAAAAAGTTCCGGGTATCAAGCGGGTACGGGTACGGGCGGGTATACCGCTACCCGCATGGAAACCCTAATTACGGTTAATCAAAATTTAGGAAAAAGAAACACATGCGGGCCATTTAGACATAATTTTTAGGGGGGTCCCGGTCCTTTTCCATTGAAAAGGGTGAAGTTACTTGTTGAATGGCACATAATAAGCTGGGGGAGAAAGAGCTGGAGAAAGAGAAGAAATAACGGGATAGACCAGTTTCAAAAAAATCAATGAATTTAAATATTTGAGAAAAGAGTTCGAGATGAAGTTACAGTCGACGATTCGGACCTCTTCGGTGGCGTCGCTCTCGTTCTTTCTCCTGAGAAATCAAAACACTAGTCAAAAGTGATAATGAGTTATAGAACTCACGACATAAGGATCAACCTCATAATGTTTGATGTGAACCTGTATATTGTGAGCATCCTCCGCCGGCGCATAGTCAGGAATAATGTCTTTTGGAACATGCTCTTGGGTGAATCTATCGTAAGCACGACAAATTGGTGTCACATAGTCAATAACATTTCGCAACTGCTCATAGATAAACCCAGTGGCCTTTTCAACTGCAGATCTAGGATCATAATTGACGAAAAGAACAGCAGCAGCTATGGTACGGTAGGAGAAATTGAATGAGTCAATGTCAGAGAGAAGATAGTCAAGGATCCGAACCATTCGAAGATATTCGGATCGAAGAAGCTCAGGAATATACATATTGCCTTCTTCGAAATGATCATTGTTTTTCTGGAAAAAGAAATATATATACAGAAAAGGAAAAGATGACTAAATCAGCTCACTTTTCCAGTTCCCAGTAATTGTAGATACGTTGATAGCCACTGAACACTTGTAATGGGTCCGAAACTCCACTTGAGATCTTTTGCAACTATACTCTCCATACGACAAATATCATCGCATGAAAAAGCTCCGTCGGTCAATGCAGCAAGATCGGCACATTTTGGTGGATAAATCTCCTCGTATTTAGCAGCAATGAATAACGCAGCTGTCCCAACTAACTGAAAATTCTCCGAAATGACTTCTTCTCTAGTTGATTCCAAAAATCGATCGGCATAATCCACAGCCAAATGGAACGTCTCCCGATGAAGTTTTTCGACATCACAACACTCCATCATCCAATCGACAAGCACCCGACGCATATTAATAGTCATATCCGGATGATTTCGGAGCAATTGTCTTGTAGCTCTCGGAATATCGTCCCGTTTAACCATCAGTGACCACACCTTGGTAGGTGACCCTATCCCTTCGCATTTGCCATAGCTGAGAAGACTAGGAGCATCTATCATATGCCGATCGTTCATCAGACGCTTTGTAACAGCGAAGTCATCATTTTGCAATGGCAGATCTGGAAAGTTTTGAATAAAGAAGAAAGAAAACCAGAACAGCCTACCAAATTCATCTTCCGTCTCTTCGTCTTCTTCATATTCATCATATTCATCTTCCTCGTCATTGACATCACTACTGACGTCGTCTTCGACATCGCCATCTTCTTCAAAACCGTCGTGCTCATCTGATTGTGGGGTCTCACGACTTTCTTCTGATTCTGCATTATGATCAGAAGATCCATCGAGTGATTCCTCCTCTTCTGGCATTGCTGGAAGCGGTTGGCCCCGTGTTCGTGATGATGTAGATCCGACAGATGATTCAGTCTCACGATCCTCTGAAAATACTTGGAACAGAATAGTGGCAATATTGGGGAGATGGAACAAACCACTGCTGAATGAATCGTCGCGGCTTCCATTTCCTTTCTTTTCCGTGGAAGGACGTTTCGCAACTGGTCCTTTCTGAAAGAATAAATTTGTTGTATTTCGATTAGAACTTTCACTTTTGAACTAAAAATACAATCAAAACCCTTCGTCCTGAAGTTCAGGACCTGAACCGAAAATATCTAGTAAAGGATTTGGACCTTGATAGCCCCTCAGCACTTGTAATGGATTCGAAAAAAAAATATTAAAAAAACTAGGGGGCACCCGGAGTTGAACCGGGGACCTCTCGATCTGCAGTCGAATGCTCTGCCACTGAGCTATACCCCCACATGTGAATGGCGGTGGGGAATTGAACAAACAATTGGGAAAACGTGTAAAAAAGAGGCGCAACAGGATTGAAAAGGGAACGATCAAACAATCACTTTCGGTAGGGAGAATGTAGGATTGGGAGAAATTTTGCCTATGCTTGATTTGAAAGATATAAGATAATACAGATACCGGAATCCAAAAATGATCATACCTGAATAAAAATAACAAGCTATATATAACTTGCAGTTAAGTCGTTCAAAAAATGCAAAAATAACTAGGGGGCACCCGGAGTTGAACCGGGGACCTCTCGATCTGCAGTCGAATGCTCTGCCACTGAGCTATACCCCCACACAAATGACGAGTCGCAGACTGCAGGCAAGTAGTGGTCGGAAGCGGGCGACGGGACGCAGCGGAGACGGCGATTTGAACCGTGTTCAGTGTGGTCACTCTATGTGTCCGCTGGTTATCCCTGCGTCTCTCGTAGAATCTTGTCAATCTAAGGCCTGTGAACTGAATACAAGCAATAGGATGAGAGAGAAAAGAGGAAAGGCAATGAAGAAGCAAGAAAAAAGAAAACGGAGAAGAGATTCAGAAGAACTTCTTGGCGCACTATTACACTGGTCAAATACAAAGTGTCTGTTTCCCAGTGCAAACTTTTTTCTTTCAATTGTTACGAGCTGTTTCCCGCAGATAATTCCTAATGAACTGTCAATTTGACTTTCTTGATTAATGATAAATCCCTTCCTGCGAACCTTGATCAATATCAATTTTCGTTATCAGTTCATCCATTCTTACCATATCTTTGCTGCATTTTGTCACAATACGCAGCCGCTTTACAGTTTTCCTCTTAGCCTTCGAGAAGTTTGAAACAAATGGCTGAGGCATGGGGAGAAAGTATTTGAAAAGTACAAAACTTTTCAAATTCTCCCTTATCACACATTTCTATTTCTCTTGTTCCCCGTTCTGATAAGAACCCTCGTTTTCTTACCTCTGTACTACGTCGTTTTCTTGACTCCGAGCAGTCCGAACGCTGACTTCCGACACTTTCGTTCCGGGTGCTCGATGAACGTTCCGGAATGTTCTCCTTTACATCTAACGAAGTCTCCAGAAGACGTTCACGCAACTCATCATGTGGCGATCTGAAAGATATGTCAATTTCAGACGTTTCTGATTTTTCAAACTCACAAAATTGCTGACTTTCTTTCGGCTTTCTTTACCGGCTCGCCTGTTGTTCTTGATGACTTTCTTCCAGCCATCTATTTGATTAAATTCACCTGAAAACATTTCAGTGGCAATTAGGAACTAAATGAGAAAAAAGGTATAATAGAGTTGGTAATAATTAGGCCTTGTACACAAGCAAGATGAGATAGCACTTTATCGCTCCTATCTACATTAATTAGCTGGGAGAAGTAAAAACACATGACTTGTATCGATTAGGTCAACAAAAAGTTCAGAATAGAAATAACAACTTTTCATTAAAACTAGAAAATTGCGGATTGTTCACTTTGAACTCAGTCAGCTGTCACATGCAATTTAAACTCGTAAAGTTCGCGCGCAAGAGAGTACGGTAAAGAGTCAAATCGACACTGAACCCTTTCGTTTCGTCATCAAATGCCCCGCCCATGAAGGGAAATCGGATCACTTTGATAGAAAAGGAATATTCGAAATCGCCGAGATCAGATAAGACGAAGATCGTGTTAGTTTTAGATAGATAAGACTGGCTTAAAGGACTTTCTAGAGGCATTATTCAACAGCATAATTTTGAATTTAAGCCAGCAAAAGAGCTTTGTAGAGCTTTCAGAATCCTTTTCTAAAGCCTAAACTTTTTTTCAAATGACTTCTTATGTAAAGCTTACATTTAAGCTTTGTTTTCAATAAATCTAGATATACGTACTGGGGTCTCTGGGAAAGTCGAGATGGACTAGGGACTCTCCTAGTTGCATAAGAGGGCATCGAAGTTCAAATCAAAAAATAGGAAAGGTCATCGAAGGACAACCAGTTGCGCCATCGCTGTCGGCTAGCTCTTTAGATTCAAATCGCGCGCATTTCCCGCGTTCCCTCCGTTTTGCCGCCTCTTCCACCCCGAGGTCTCACCACGATTTCTCTATTTTCTCTCTAGCCCAGCAAAGAATTTGAGGAGAGTTGCTGGGGTCTCATGAGAAGAGACGCAGACATACGACACGTACGAATAGAGGGCACTACAACAAACCCTTGGAGATGTTAGACATAAAGAGATATAATAAGAGAAAAAGAGGAAGAGCAACATCTTAGATTTCTGTTCCGTATTTTTCCCCTTTTTTAAAGTTTTCCATCTGAAAACTGATTCAAAATACAGTCCCTAAACTTTTGTTGTTTTCAATTCTGTATGCATCGAAATCTATCGATTTCCCCTATGTAAAAACTGTGTTCCAACTCTAAATTACTGCTAATTATAACGACAACCTCGTTTCTTCTGGGCTACTCATCTTTTGACCAATTTATCAATTTTTCAGCGACTTCAACATGTCGGACGATGAAGAAGGACGTTTGCGTATCGATGAAGGGGATTCCAACACTGAAGAAATCAAACCACAACCAAGAGCTCCTCCACTGCTTCCAGGGGTAGTGGTGTCGAAACCTCCTCTAGATTTTCCATCAAGTTCTAATGGTAAGTTAGATTTTTAAAAGCTCAAAAATACGACTTTTATACATAGTGCTTGAAAAAATAGAAAAGATGCCTAAATATTATTGATGACCTAGTCACCGAAGACTGCAGCAATTAAAAATAGCAATTTCAGCCACTGAAACGAAAGATAAAGACGTGTCTGGTAAAGAAGATGGAGAATTAGATGAAGATGATGAGGAAGATGAAGAGCAACAGGAGGAAGAAGAAGAAGAAGAGGAACGTGAAGAAGATGACGAGGAAATGGATACCGATGACACAGAACCGAAATTAACGATAGTCGAAGATCCCGATGAGCTAATGGAAGTTTCAAAGACACCAGAGCCACCGAAAGTTCAGAAAAAGGAAGAGGTTCCTGTGAAAATTGAAGAGGAAAAAGAGGATATAGGTAAATTTCACTGAAAACATACTAGAAAGCATATTATACTTGTGAAATTGCGATCCGGAATGAAATTATTTTATCGGAATCCGGAATCCGCAACGAGAAAATGCGCGGAATTCGGGAAAACTCGAGAACTCTCGCAAAGTACCACATTTTTTGAAATTCCAGTGTAAACTACTTTTCTCGGAATGCGGAATTTGCGATTAATTTCGAATTGATGAGTTTTCAGTTTTCGTTTGATCTCAAATAATACAAAAGCACTGTGAATTTGAAGCGAAAAATATGAAAAATAGGAACATTTGAAAAAAAATTTGAAAGAAATTCACAGCAAGATTACTGTAGGACGTAATCTTGCGTACAGTGTTTGCACAAAGTTCGAAAAGTCAAAGAATTTTCATTTTTTTTTGTGCAATTCGGCTTTTGTCAGACATAATTTTTAAGACATGTTCTCAATTTGGGCTTTCGCAATTCCATTTTTTTCAGTAATGTCCGAACCTTCATCGCCGGATTCGTCCAAACAATCAGATGAACCGGAAATCAAAAAAGAAGAACCGTTGGATGAACAAGATATTACAATTGAGACAGATACGAATAAAGCCACGACACCAGATGAAGCGCCTCAGCTAAGTCCCGCACCAAATTTGAAAAATGAGAACGGGTTGATGAAACCACCTCAGAGTACGGAAAAAGCACCGAGAAAGCGGAAAGGTAATTGAAAGCTTATAAGAAAAAACAGTTTTATCTTGAAATAGTTTCAGAATCTGCTGACAACTTCTCAAATGATAAAAGAAACATCCCCTCGTCGTCGGATACACCAAGATCGAAGCGATCCAGTTCTCAATACGCAAAACTCGCAATATCAGCTTGTTTAGCAGACGAGGATATTGTTTCGTTACCGATGATGCCAATTCAGACTCCACCGCAAACTAAACGAGCGAAGCGCGATGTCAGCACCAGTGTGATCACCACAAGGTCCACAGATATCGATGGGCTTATTAACGACGAATCGATTCTCTCTACACCACCGGGAACACAGTTGCTTCTTGAGATAACCGTAATGTACAGAACGAGAAGTTCATTAGCATTCCGAATCAAAGGATGTGAAATGATCGGATTCATTGGCGATGGATTATCACCTATTATCTCTGCTGTGGCTGCAAACACTGCGTCTACATCTGGAAATAACAACAATAAGAAAAAGGTCAATAACTCATCAAACAACGAAGAAGGCAAGGATGGGCGGTCGAGTTCGGCAAGTTCGAATGGGCGATCGGCGCGTGGTGGATCGGTACTGAAGGATGGGAAGGCAGACAAACAGAAGGGAAAGAAAAAGAAGGAGGATCCAAGTAACGAGGATATAGATGAGGAAAGTCAGAGTGTTGATAATTCGGGATACGACAAATGCGAGTTAAAAGAAGTCGATGTGTAAGTTTTGTATCTGAAAATATCCTTTTCAAAAGAATTTCAAAAAGTACAACTTTTTCAGAACTCAATATCACGATTGTCACTACGAAGGGTGCGAAAAGCGATTTCAGCAATCACAAGAACTCGATTATCACATTTCAAAGTATCATAAGAAACGAGTGGTGTGTCTTTGAAATTGAAACGCATCTTATATCTATTTTCAGATGATTTACGAGTCGATTTGCACACAAACCGAGATCTCATCAATTTCTACGCAAGACGTTGGAACGGAAACGGATGATTTGTCGGCGATGCCAGTGCTCAAAAAAGAGGTACCGATTAAAGTGAGTAGAGCGCAGATTTTGACGAGACTTAGAAAATTTTGGTTGCGCTGGGAAGAGACTACAGTAGTTTCAGGCATTTCATGATTCTCCACGTTTCAGCAACCAACCTATGAAGATCTCTCCGATGATGATATGGATTCGAAACCTGCGGAACTTGCTCTGAAAGTGCCTTCCACGTCTTCTGCAGCTGCCGCTCTTATGGGAATTGCCCAACAGACTGCATCGGCGACTCCTGTAGTTCAACGTTCAACACCGTCAACACCGATTTCTGCTAAAATTGGAATCAACCCACAGATGATTGCGTTAGCTGAAAAAAGCAAGCAACAACAGCAGCAGCAACAGAAGATGGTCGCAAGTTCACCAAGACCTAACCAGCATCCTGTATCCGCCATTCCTTCAACTTCTGCACAACCTCCAGTTCTTATCCAGACTCATCCTATGGGAGGTCATCAATTCATAGCTCCTGGCTTCCATCCAGGCCTTATACACCATCAAAACCATATGGCTGCTCTTGCGGCTGCCATGGATCCTCGAATAGTTGCCATATCTCAACAACAGCAACAACAACAAATGGCTCGAACACCGAGTAGGCAGTCAGGTACCGACTCTCATAAGATCCACGAGCTAGCCAAGACAAAGGAGAATGAGCACCGACAACGGCAACAGTCCGCGACGCCGAAGACTCCTGCTGGAAGTGGGCCTGCTCAAGGAGCAGTCACTCCACAAAGGCCGTTTATTCCTCCGCAAATGATGCAAGCGCCTCCTGGTGAGCATTTTGGAATTTTGCATATAAGAAGATGGCATTTTCATAATTTTTAACATTCGTTCGAATAGAGGCCAGCCTACAAACTTTTCTGTTGGTTCACAGAAATATAAGAAACATAGTTTCTTCGGGATTTATGTGTGAGAATTATACTTCACAAACATTTTTTCACCATTTTCACCATGAAACAATTCAAATTGGTATTTTTAAAGTTTTTTCATCAGAAATTCAGGTCAACAAAACAGATAAAATTTATTGAAAAAAAAGTAACAAAAACAACAACAAATTAATAATAACGTGAGATATATTTCCGTGAACCTACAGAAGCGATCCCGAGATCGCTTCTGGGAGTTTTGAAAGAAGAAGCCTGAAAAAATAAATATATTAATATTTCCCGTGAACCTACAGAAGCGATCTCGAGATCGCTTCTGGGAATTTTGTGAGAGCGAAAAAACATCCAGAATCGATCTCTTCATCGATCTCTTCAAGTTCACGTAAATCTGCCAATTTTCGAAAAATATCGTGAAATTTTGAAATCCACAAATTTTTCATTCTGAAAATGGACACCCTTACTAGTAAGAGTATCGTGTTTCGTGATTCAATGTGAATTTTTGAAAAAAGCAAAAAACATTTCTAGCTGCATTGTTCAAATATTTGTAATATTATCTGATAATATTGTTCATTTTTGAAAATATCGAGAAATTTCAAAATCAACAAAATTTTCAAGTAAACCGTTTTATCACGTTTGGAGGATTTAAAAAGTATATTATGCCCTTAAACTAAAAAGTATATTATGCCCTTATTTGAACAATGCAGCTAGAAATGTTTCTTGCCTTTTTCAAAAATTCACATTGAATCACAAAACACGATACTCTTACTAGTAAGGATGCCCATTTTCAGGATGAAAAATTTGTGGATTTCAAAATTTCACGATATTTTTCGAAAATTGGCAGATTTACGTGAACTTACAGAATCGATGAAGAGATCGATTCTGGATGTTTTTTCGCTCTCACAAAATTCCCAGAAGCGATCTCGAGATCGCTTCTGTAGGTTCACGGGAAATATTAATATATTTATTTTTTCAGGCTTCTTCTTTCAAAACTCCCAGAAGCGATCTCGGGATCGCTTCTGTAGGTTCACGGAAATATATCTCACGTTATTATTTTGTTGTTGTTTTCTTTTACTTTTTTTCAATAAATTTTATCTGTTTTGTTGACCTGAATTTCTGATGAAAAAAAGTTAATCACCTTAAAAACGAGTGAAGTACCGTATTCAAGAAATTTCTGTGAAAATCTCTCCGCCAGACACGAAAAAGTTACGAATTGCTTAAAGTTAATTTTTTCTGTGTAAAGCATACATATTTTTCCAATTTGCAACGAATTTTGAGCCAGAGTTAGAAATTTTCAAATTTTCATCTTCTTATATCATGGGATAATTGTATTTCAGGAACGCCACAAAGTGTGCAACAACAACAACAACAACAACAAGCGGCACAACAACAAGCACAGCAACAGAACCTAGCCGCTCAACAGCAATTATTGCAGATGCAACTGCGAGGAATGGTTAGTAATGAATAAGGCTTCCGTTCTGCCTGAAAATTTAGCCGGCCGGCCGACCGACCGCCGACCGATCTTAACCGAAATGGACGCCTTAGTGATAATTATGACTAAATCAGATATTTGATATATTTGTTCCAGGTACCCCAAATGCCGAATCAACAAGAACAACAACTACTGATGATGATGATGGGTCTAGGCGGTATGCCTATTCCAGGAGCTGTTCCGGGTGCTCCTGGCTTCCCACAACAACAACAACCACCCAAGTAATCAAAACTATCCATTTTTTGTTTCCGGTGCCTTCTCTGCTCTTTCAACTTTGTAATTTAAAATTTGAATGTTAACCCTATTAGCCTTTTCTCGGTATTTCCTCTCTTTGTGTCTAATTTTCTTAACTTTGTAAAGTGATTTATATTATTTGAACTCCCCCGGATTCTTGTGCCTCTCTGGTATATCAGCTATAATCGATTCTCTTTCGTTGTCTCTTCACACAAGTATATACAAAAAACAAGATACAAACATTTGATGTGTTTCTTTTTCTTCCAGCTTCGTTTTGCCCTTTTTTCCCTTTCTCATGCTTCTTTTTGTGTTATTATCTTTCGTGTGTCTTCTGATTGAAATTTATTATATTGCCTCCTCCTTCTGCTGAATACACTCTTTCAACACTCTAAAACGCCTTGATCCCTTGAGGAAATCCGTTAAAAAATAGTGTAGGTGTGAAGAGGAATCAATCAAAAACAATCATTCTTCTCCCATAGATCCCTTCCTTCCCCCCTGCCACAGCCTGATGATATTTTCGCCTTGTCCAGGATAGCAAAACAAAAAGTTAGCTGGGGATAGCCGAGAAAGCATGAATCACAAAGAGAGTGGTTAAAGAAGCCAACGGAATTACAACATTTCAGGTAGCAGTCGCCGCGAGAGAATCCGTCAGTTGAGATAGCTTGAGCCCCAGAAGAAAACCAACACATTGGTACACGAAAAGGGCCACTTTTTATGTGAAACAATTGGCTCTCTCGGCTTTTCCCGAGATTCAACGATCCTCTCTCTTGGTCGGCCCCCGCCTTCGGGAGAGATTTCAGAAGAAAATAGATAAAATACGAAGGAAAAAGAACATCTGCGAAAAATAACGATGACGAAGAGAACGAAATTGAAGAAGCATCACAAATTGAAATTGAACGCAATGATGAAATGTTTGCTTGTGGAGATTTGAAGATGACCTGCAAGTGATTCAGAAGGATACGGAGTGCACTCCACCGCACGTTGGCCAGATCTTCCACTCATAACTACGCACGGTGATTCTTTCGGAACGTCATATGAATACGCTCGAATGCTAATTTTTGAAAGAGGCGTTGGTCTCGACGCGAAAACTACAAGTTCAACAGCCGAGTCTTACGGTTTTGTGTCTGCATTCCATCGGGAAAAGCAGAGAAAAGTTTATTTAAAAAACCGTCCAGTAAAAATATCGAATATTGCAGAGAAAACAGCAACTAGAGATATTTAAAGCTTTACAAAATCAAATCATGAAACAGAAAATTTTTTTACAAATTCGTTATAATGATTTTCAAAAAGTTCTATAGTTTCGAGCCAGTGTACAGCCGGTTAGGACGTTTGTATGAATAAGATTTTGAGCCTTTCAGATAGTTCATTTTATGGCTCGGAAACAATAAAATTGAGAAGTTTCAAAGGAATAACTATGAATTGAATCATTTAAAAATTATCAATTTATCCATTTTTTAGATTAATGGTCCAATTGTTTCAGAGATCACAGAACCAGTAACAATAATATCACATTTTGATGTTTTCAGTTCAAAAATTGTCTAGTCTATTTTCCTGCACAATTTTTGAAGATCTCAAAATAATCGCAAATCGAAAGCTACCATAGAATTGACTCCATTTCTGTGGCAAGGGATATATCTCATTATGATGAAACTGTATAAAATTGTAGAGACTTTTTTTTAAATATGCATATTTTTATGTTAAGTATCAACACCGTTTTCAGAAGCGCAACGTTAGCTCTCTACTCAAATTTTCTTATTGAATCCATTTTTTTTGCATCGTAAAAGATTCCATAAATTAAAAGAATAATTATGAGACGATTTCACAAACATCTTCCGGTTTGATTCAACAAATTTCTGTTTCAAAAACGTTTTTGAACTGAATGGAAATGCGAAAGGCGGTAAAAACAACAGGTTTAAAGAAACAGTTCAATCGATTTAAATTTTCCTGTTCATGTTTCCGGTGCTCTTTTTAATTTATCAAACAATTGTTTTCTTAAAAATGTGTTTACGGCACGTACATGTGGTAGGTTCTGAACTCATTTTTTCACATTGGAAAAAAGTTTAAAAGCGAATAGAATAAATTTTGAAACAATTTTACAATTTTGGTTTAATTACAAAACATTCTGTTTCAAAAACATTTCAAATTTTAACGGATATTTGAGAAGCCGATGTGTATTTCTTACGGTTAATACAAGAAGACAGTTCTTTTGATGAAGAGTTCCCTTGAAAGTTTATTTTGCTAGAACTCTTCTTTTAATTAAACCATAAGTCATTTTCAAATAACTGAATGTACCGTAAATCCTCTAATTGAATGAACTGAATAACTTTGCCCTTTGAGCTCAATTATCATGGTTTCTGTGAAAGATATAAGAAATCTGTCAACTGACAAGATATTTTTGATTTTATGATGAGCATTATATCAGTTGACCACTTTTTGATATCTTTTACAGGAAATGAGATATATGAGCTCAAAATTGACTGTTTGGGTGGCGTTCTATTAGAATGTTTACAGTATATACATGTAGTAAGTGGTGAATCCATTTTTTGCGCATTGGAAAAGAATTCATAGGATAATAGATTGAATTATCAAGCGATTTCAAAAAACTCGTTTCGAAAGATATCAAAAAGTTTCTGTTTCAAACACATTTTGAATTTTAGGGTGATTTGAAGAGTCGATAACAAGGGTATCATCAGTCGACCACTTTGATATTTTTTACAGGAAATAAAATAAATGGGTTCAAAGTTAACGGTTTGGGGGACATTCTATCAGATTATTATGGTATGCTTTATAAAACATTTTTCAGGTCAGTTGGATGCAGCTTTCATATCCTCTTATCAGTTTTTGGAAAATTCACTTTACTATTTCATAAAATCTTTAATCTATTTTGAAACCCACAAAAACTCATCATTCTTTCACCACACTTCCGTTCTCCGACACCTCATCTCTATTTCCCCCAATTATCATCAATATTGTGCTCACCACCCGCCTCACCTAAAAAAATGAGTGGTCCCATTTGCACACTGATCCCCCTGGAATCTCCGAATCGTTTCGCTCTTCGATCAGTCAGAAGATATAGACGATGAAGTGTGAAGAGAATCAAGACAACTACCGTATCTGTTTCCATCTCTCTCGGCAGCAGAATCATCGTAGAAAACAAAGAGATTCCAGACAATTTGTTGGTTGAAAAATGGCAGGGAGCAGCGGATCTGAGGGGGCGGGCGATGGGGAAGAAGAAGAGAAGAATGTGTAATAGGAGGAGAAAGAAAGGCAGGGGCTTCTTCTTCTTCTTTCTATCAGATGCCAGTGGATGCACCACAATGAGAAGGATCCTGTGGGATCCCGACGGGTCCCCCTCTCCACTCCCACTCACTTGTTTTCTTTCAATTGCTTCTGGCTCTTCTCAGAAAGTTGAGACATTTCTTTCTTTCTTTCCTATAGTCGCATGGTTCTTCAATTGTATAGTAAGGTAACTTGATCTGAAATTTTCGTTTTCAGAGATTTTTCTAGAGGGGTACTGTAGTTTTGAGAAAAAGTTTCAGTTCCAATTCAGGTCCAGGGAAGGTGTGAGTCGCCTAGAAAATTCTTTTTTCTAATTTTTATATTCCAAATACAGTAGTTTTCATGATTCGGTTCATTTTGTGATAGCCATAAAATCGAAAAAATGGAAACTTCAAACTACCGTAAACGCTCTATTAAAATAGAAGCCTACCCTATACTTGTCCTTTGAGCGCAATTATGTCGATTCCTGTAAAAGATATAAAAAATCTGTCAACTGATAAAATATCACTGATATGATGATAAATATTTTGTTAGGTGACCACTTTCTGACATCTTTCACAAGGAATGAGATATGAAGGGTCAAATCTGGTGATTCGGGACCGATCATTTCATGAATAATTAAACTGAAAATAGAAAGGAAAAATTTTACCTGAGCCTGTAATTAAAAAAAAATCCTAACTGGCCTAATGAAATTTTCGCTATTTTTCAGATTTTATAAATCTACTGAGTTTTAGAAATTAGTAATTTGATTAGCTTAAAAAAAAAATAAAGTTGAAGAGAGGGATATCAGATTTTGGACTTACGGCATGTATCCTGACGTGATGGTGTACAGCGTTCGGAGGCTTAAACTTGCGCCACCGTAGCTCAGCCGGTAGCGGCAACGCACCTCCAGCGGCGGGCCCACAAGTTCAACTCCTCGAGTAGCTTGTATAGCTGGCTTAATGAAACTATTGCTGTTTCTTTGAGTTGATAAATTTAAATTATAAAATCAGCGATGCTCCGAAAATTTGAGTAAAAACCTAAACCAAATTGCTTTCCGATTCCCTGAACCCTCCTCAACCTACTAATTATGATAACCAGTAACACAATGGGGACTACATCAAAAATTTCGAAAACCTATTACAATTTTCGACTGTTTTGCTCCTCTCTGTGAGCGCCCACATTCTCTGAACTCTATTCATCTTACACACTATTTTCCTTCTTGTCATCATCAGTTTGTTGTCACCTGTTTCCTCGTTTATCACCCCCGGTTTCCTGGTGAACAATTGTCCCAACGAAGCTTCTTCTTCTATTTCTTCATGAATCGTTCTGAAATTTCTCTGGAAAAAAGAAAAGTTTGATTGTTTCTGTTCGATTTTTCCTTTTTCGTATACATGGACAACACAAAAAACAATAATTTCGGAGAGAAGACACAAACTTTTTATTCCCTCCGGAGGAGACTGACTGTATACAAAATATGGAAAAGGGGACAAGCATTGAAAAGAACAAGCCTCGTTTTTTTTTCAGATTTTTATTACATTCTTACCCGATGTTTCGTACATTTTTTGAAATTCTCGAAAATTTTATATCTAATTACAATTTTTTCAGCGAGGAAGATGCCACCAACCGAGGATCAAGTTGTCGCTGGTAAGTCTCCGAAATTCCTTAAAAAATTCTCTTTTGACCCCCATAAATCACCAAAAACCATTGTTTTCCCACCGTTTGTGCTCATTTTATTTGCATTCGCGTCAGGAGCGGAGGCGGGTGGAAAACGGGGTGAAAATGGATGAAGAAAAGAGGTCAAAACTGTCAAAAAATTTGTGTGCGAATAATTTGATAATTTATTTTGTGTGTGCATGCGTTTCGCTTATTCGTATAATTTCTATCAATCTTTCGTTTTCCGGGTTCTAAAGCAAGCTGATCAATGAATGAAAGTTCTGGATAAGATTTATTAAGAAAGTTATTGTTATTGAAACATACATTTATACTCGAATTTAAAAAAACAATTCCAAAGCTTAAATTCTAAGACTAACTGTTATCTCTCTCGGTACTCTATCTGAACTCCAACTACCGTATTTGCTCTAATAGAAGCCCACCCTATTCTCACACTGTGAGACCAATTATCTCGGTTCCTGCAAAAGATATCAAAAAGCTGTCAACTGATAAATTTTTTATCAAAATTCGACAAACACTTTATTAGTTGACAGATTTTTAATATCTCTCATAGGGACCGAGATAATTGAGCTCAAAGGGCAGGTACCGTAGAAACTCTAATACAACGCCCTCCAACCGTCAACTTTGAACCTAAAAATCTCATTTCTCATAAAATATACAAAGAAGTGGTCAACTGATAGAATGTTTATCATGATATTGCAAAGATTTTATCAGTTGGCACATTTTTAATATCTCTTGAAGTAACCGAGATAAATCAGCTCTCAAACAGTATCAAAATTTATTACCATAAAACCTGTAATAGAAAGGCCCACCAACTTGAAAATTAGGACCAATTTATCTTATTTCCTGTCCTCTTAAACTGTCAACTTTGAGCTCAATTATCTCGACTCCTGTGAAAAATAGCAAAGCAATTTCTACCGATAGAATATTTTGATATTATGGTAAAAATTTTATCAGTTGACACATTTTTGACATCTCTCACAGGAACCGAGATAATTGAGCTCAAAGTTGACAGTGCCAAGCCCTTCTATTATAGGTTTTACGGTACTTCTCAAAGAGACGCCAATTACAGGATCCAAGGTTTGCTGAATTTGAATCATCAGATTCTCTAAACATCCGAAGATCCCAATTTAGAATCATTTTTCGTTTCTCCTCTCTCAAAATAATTTTCTTGTAGGAGTGGGCGCTAATCCTTTCTCGGGTGTGGCACATCAGCACGACCTCAGTAGTAGTAACCCCTACCGAAAACTTTAAACCGAACAGCCAATAGATCCTTCTTCTTTTTACTCTTTTCTAATGATCTACCATCACTTTTTTTAGACACTACCCAATGCTGAAATAGTATGAAAAACGTGAGAGAGCAAGGAAGAGTAAAACAAACATTTCGGGAAAAGAACAATGTGCTTCTTCTACTTCGGGAAGAGAATGGGGAAAAGACTCCTCAAATACAATATTGTTCATCTTTTACCTTTGGGTTACTATCTTCTCTTATTATAAATTGAGAGACACGCAGAGAGTTTTCTCGCCGCAGATCGAACCACTTCAAATGGCACTTTTTTGTGTTAGAGCTCACAAGTTTTTCTGAGATAGATTATTGGGGTGATAAGAGTACGGTAAAGATTTTGAGAAGATATAAAATGAGATTCTGGCTTGAGAGAAAATTGATACTTTTAATAAGAAGGGCCCTCACACTGTCCTGTTCGAGCTCAATTATCTCGGCTAACATGAAAGATATCAGAAATCTGCCAACTGATAAAATGTTTGTGGTTTAACGATAAACAATTTATCAATAAAGAAATTCCTGATATCTTTGACAGGAACCGAGATAAATTGGCTCAAAGTTAGAAGTATTTAAATTTTTGATTTGGAGCTTTTGGATAATTTTTTAGAAAACTTTTTTCTGCATTTTCTAATTTTTCCCACCTTCAAATTTAATTTTGTTGCAAATATTTTCTTTTGAAAAGTTAAAAGAGGCGCAGGTCAATGTCCATTGGTAACATCATAAACCCTAAAGTTTTTGTGTTGTTCTAGAAACATGTAAATTTTCGAAATTTCAGAACTTTTGTGATTTTTTATTTTCTCCGTAGCTTCAGTTTTCAATAAATTCGATCCTACGAAAGATCAAAATTTAGCTCGTCCTTTAAACATACCGTAATACCTGTAATAGAAGAGCCCCCTAACTTTTAACTTTGAGCTAATTTATCTCGATTCCTGTCAGTGATATCAAGAAACTGTCAACTGATAAATTGTTTATCATAATATCACAACCATTTTATCAGTTGACCACTTTTTGATATCTTGCATAGGAACCGAGATAAATTGGATCAAATTTTACAGTGTAGAGGCTCTGCTATGACAGGTTTTAAAGTAATTTTTGTTGTCCCGCTTTAAACATCGATGTTGATAAAACTTCAATTTACTTTAACTCCTTCCTGAAACATAATTTCTATTTCTTGAAGTATTTTTTTTTCAAAAAATCTTTCAAACCAAAAAAAGAAGAAGGGG